GAGAGAGAGAGAGAGAGAGAGAGAGAGAGAGAGAGAGAGAGAACTGAACTAATTCAAGTTCGCGACCTTTCTGGCGGTGTACCTTCAGAAAGTTGCAGAGAGCGCGGGTCACGGCCCAGGAAGGTTTTACTAGTCAGCTCCTCTAGCGCGCACAGTGGCGATGCGGGATCAGGGCTGGCCTCGGGAAGCTGTGGCGCAGAAGGCGCTCTGGGGACCATGCTCGGGCCTAGGATGTCTGAGATGCTGAAGGGTGTCCGGCGCTGGCGTCCAGAGTTCATGGCAAGCCGGCTTGTAACGATCCCGCCTTCCGCTGCTCTTGGCTCCACAATCTCCTCGAGGCCCCAGCGCTCAGCTTCCGATCTGGGCCCCCTGTCTCCGACCCGCCCCCTAGAGCTGGGTTGGAGCCCCATGTCCCCTCCTTCTGCACCCCCACCTCCCTCTAAAGGCCGTAGTAAGTCTGGAGCCGTAGGTGTCCTGGCAGCCTTATTCCTTCTATAGGGTGGAGAGAAGCCGGTGGCTTCTGGCTTTGGGGTATAGTTCTGTGTACATTCAAACTGGACTTTACTGAATTCTGATTGCTGCTTGGCTCACCACATACGCTCTGGCTCATAAACTCCTGGGCAATAAATTGCTTTCCCTGACCCCAAGGGCTGGGGATTTTCAGAGTTCTTAGAGACAGGATCAGGGCTGATTATGTTAGGATCCTGCGAACCTTAGTATCTTCAGTATCCTAACTTGGCCTAATCTTCCCCACCTACCCCTGAGAAAAGGTCTTAAAGAGAACATGGCAGATGGAAATGGTTGCAGTGTGGGGGTTCCGGTCAATACTTTTGAGAACCTGGCCTAGTGGAGCGACTGTCATTAAAAGATACCGCAAGGAACGGGGCAGGTGAGTTTGCCATGCTGTAGTCTAGAGGTCCCAATAAGTTAAAACACACCAAAAAAGCTTCCAGAGACCTGGGCTGGCACTACTGCTCAGGAGTCCCTTGCTCCCAGGACTGATCTCCACTGAGAACCTGTTCATCCTGGCTCACCATGTCTGCCTTGGTCATTTTAAGCTCTCATAGCTCAGGTGTGGTTTCCCTGTGGTCACTCTCCAGGAAGACAAATTGAAGGGCAGACCTCACTCCAACACAGTCAGATCATGTGACAGGCATCACTGGCAAGTTAGACTCAAACTCTGAGGCCTGATCTGTTTGTTGCTTTTTGTATTCTCTGTCCCTGCATTTATTCTCACCCGAGTTACAACTCCATAATCATCTGGAATTGAAATAAGTCAGGTCTGGGTCAGTGAGGCTGGACAGACCTGGGTTCTCTTTCTACTATCTCCACCTCAAATAGCTGGAGGCTTCACAACTTAGGGGCATAGAGACTCAGCTACTCCCAAAGGGCATGCCAATATTCTTTTTAAGTTGTTGTTATTATTATTGTTGTTGTTGTTGTTATTATTCTGAGTCAGGATCTCACTGTATAGCCCTAGCTGCCCTGAAGTTTACTACGTACACTAGGCTGGTGTCCAACTTATCCAGACTAAAGTTGCTCAAACTCAAAGTAATCCTCCTGGTTCAGTTTTCTGTGGAGTGAGCTACTGTGCCGAGCCAAGACTAGCATTCTATTTATGTTTTGTTGACAGCTAAATGAATATCCAGAACAGTCCCCCCTCCCAGACTATTTCCCATGCCACTTTTCCTGTAGGCATTTGTGTCTCCCACAGTTTTCAGTGTCTATTCCCTGGGGCAAGTGTAGCTTAGAGCTGGGGTGCCCCAAATTGTATTTATGAGATCCTGGGAACCTGAGCCAAAGGCTCCTTGACAATAGGATACTCCCCTTGATAGTAGGATAGCAAAGGGTCCCCTCTGATGACACCCCCAGGCTTCAGGCATCCAGACCCTCCTGGAAGCCTGGAGATGCTCCTGAAGCTCAAGGAGCCACTTCAGGGTCAGAGAGCAGAGCCAGGCCACGGTGGAAAGCTGAGCTGCTTCAGAACCTTGTTAATTGGTTATTAATGGAAGGGAGAGTAGGGGAGGGCAGTGGAGAGTCTCTGCTGCAGGCCTCAGTCCTCAGTGCAATCCTTGTGGTTTCACTTAATCTGCAATTAAAGCAGATCCCAGGAGGCAGAAGGAACTGCCCTACTGCATCCCAGTCCTGTCACCCAAAAGACACTGCAAGCTCTCCTCACATATCCATTATGTGGCTTTTATGTCCTTTTTACCTCTGCTCTCAATTACTCGTGTGTGTGTGTGTGTGTGTGTGTGTGTGTGTGTGTGGTGTAGTGTGGGGCTCTCCTGAGGGGCTTGGCCTTCCTCTCCTGCCCACCTCCTCCCTTCAGCAGATGGGCTCAGGTAATGGATGGGACTGTCTTCAGACACAAGTTTGGGGGAGGAAAGAGAAGTGGAGAGGTTAAAGGGAAGATGTCCCAACATCAGAGACTGACTAAGGACATCCCAATGCCGAGGGACTAGTCCAGACGATCCTGGGGCCATTGAGGGGGCTTCTCCTGGCTAAGCATCTGGAACATGATCTGGGGAGAAACCGGATCCACAGAAGGGGACCAGAGGAGGGTGAGTGATTAATGAGGGATGGTAACAGATTAAACCTGGGCTCTGGGCTTGAGGGGAGTGAGTGGATCAGCTGTCTCATACTTTCCCCTGCAGAAACTGGGGGGAGCACAAAAACTTCCTGATGCCCAGTTGTTTTGCACCTGTGGTGATATTTTGTTTGTGACCTAACAAATAAAGCTTGCCTGGAGATCAAAGAGGAGCCAGCCACTAGAGAGACTGAAATCCTGGAATCCTCAGACTGAATGCTCTGAGCTCCTGTCTCCTCCCACCTTATATTCCTCTCTCCTCCCAGCCATATCACTCCTGTCTCCACCTTCCTAGTGCCGGGATTAAAGGCGTGTGACTCCCAAGTACTTGGATCAAAGGGTGAGCCATCACCCCCTGTCTCTGTTTCTCTTTTAGATTGGATCAATCTTGTATAGCCCAAGGTGGCCTTGAACTCACAGAGATCCTTCTGCCTCCCCAGTGCTGGGATTAAAGGTGTGTGCCACCACTGCCTAGCCTCTATGGCTAATTAGTGGCTTAGCTCTGCACTCTGATCTTCAGGCAAGCTTTTTTAGAATACAAACAAGATATCACCACATGGACCCACAGGTCTAGCACCCAGGGGTCCTAGAGGATCCAGGCAATTTCTTTCGTCTCCAGACTTCTCTATCTTTCCCCATTGTCCCTCCAGACACTTCAGGGACCTTTTAAACCCCTCTTAGAATATAAGAAGGGATGCTCACACTCGGACCTTCATCCCTTCAGAGACTCACCTGTCACCTAATGGTGGACAAAGAACCTTGCCAGAAGCCGTGCACCCATGTGTCAGAAGTAGTGGCACCCACCTTTAATTCTAGCACTTGGGAGGCAGAGGCAGGTGGATCTCTGTGAGTTCCAGGCCAGCCTGCTCTAAAGAGCTAGTTTCAGGACAGCCAGAGCTGTAACACAGAGAAACCCTGACTCGAAAAACAAACAAACAAACAAAACGTATTTTCAGAGGCTGGGAATATAGTTGGTAGAGGACTTGCCTAGCACACACACAAAAAGGAATAGGAAAAGAAAGAAAAACAAGCAAGGTGTGTGGGAAAGAGAGGTCCCTCCATCTCTGGGTTGTTTTCTTTTGGGGGTTAGAATTGAAACAAGGTCTTCTCATATAGCCCGGGGTAGCCTAGAACTCACAGCAATCCTCTTAGCTCAACCTCAAAACCACTTGCACTCAGCTTGGGGCAGTTTTCTTTTTCAGATTGTGTATCTTTCAGATTGTGTATCTACGTGGTGACCAGATCCATTGAGTTCTGCACCCCCCCCCCAGAAGCATAGGCGTGATTTCCCAATATGAGATGCAAGTGACCTTGGGGTCATGGTGGGAAAAGAAAAAGGAGTCTGCATTCGTAACCACTGGAGATGCAGGGCAGCCACTGCCCTGACAGGACAAAGATCGCAACCATCCACCGTTCCAGCCAGATCCAGACCTTAGCACTTTCAGTCATCCCGAGCCTCAAAGCAAAGGCCACATCTCCAAGCATGGATGCTTAAGACTCCTGAGCTAGGACCCTAGTCTTCAGACCCGACTTAATTAAAACGAAAATATTTATTTAGCTTCCGGGTGCGCGGGGCAGGGCGGGGTGGGGTGGGGGGTTGTACACCGGGTTTTGCATTTACAAGTTGCTCTCTGACGTTTTTAATTTTATTTTTTAAAAATATACTTTAAGAATTTTATACTTTGCATTTGGATCATATTCAACCCCAATTCCTCTGATTTCCTTTTTGTTGCTGAGCTGCAGCCATGTTCAAGAGCAAGCACCTTTGCAGCATGCGGGCAGGAGTGGAGGTGGGGGCGGGCGCACGACACACACACACAGACTGAAATCTAACTCCCCAAGTGCTGCGCTTAGCAGCGCTCCTCCTTGCTCCTGCCCACCCCTCCATAAGAAACTTGGGGTGGGCGAACAAACCCTTGAAAACACGCTGGGTGCTGCGTGCTTGCGGACTTCAGATTCCGGAAAGTAGCAGGGAAACACTATTGGGATATTTAACCCAACAAGTGCTGCTGTTGAGGTCAGCTTCTGGGAACAGCTGTTCTGCGAGGGGGAGGGAGTCCCTGGAGAAGATGAGACTGTCATCCACCCCTCCACACATACACTTCAGCTTTATAGGAATGAGGCATGGAAACGAGAGGCTTTGGGGATACATTCCCCACCCAGATCCCTGTCATCTGCGTCAGACATTGAAGGACTTTTTGTTGTTAGAGACGCTCACCCGGAGCTGCTGGTAATACTCCTGCCTCAGCTTTTGTCTGTTGGAATTTATAAAGAAGAGTCGCGAGGTCTAGCTCATCTTCTAAAACACTTTTGCCTTAGCCCTATATTCTTCACGTGTCCCAAGAGACTTGGTAAGGTTTCCAGACAATATAATGAAGGTGGAAAAGTTCCAGATGCAGCTTGGTTTTTGTTTGTTTTTCCTTCCTTTGGGTGGGGCCATACTTATTGACTCTCCCATAGAACCAGGACACTGACTGGGATTACTGCCAGAGCCCCAGCATGTACAGTGGGCTTTGAGAGACAATCTATGCCCTCGCCTGACCATGCCCCTCTTCTGAAGCTCCTTCCCCCCTTAAAACTCCTCTTGGTGTCTTCCACTAGGCTCCTTCTCAACCACCCCTCCCCATCTCAGCTGCACTGACTCTCCATCCCTAAGGCTAGCTGCCTCTGTTTACAGCTGGCCTGGGCTCAGATCTGCCCTGCTAGATGCCATTTATGGGGTCTTTTTTTTTTTTTTTCTTGTCTCTATTTCCCAGGCTACAGAACTAGATGCAATTATTTGGATTTTTCCATAAATATTACTCTTCATCCTCTTCAGCCCTGTAGTGGTCACATGCCCTCCTCTTTTGAAATGATGTGTGTGACATTTCCTCCGAGGCTGGTACCATATATTGCACCACACGAGGACAGCAAGAGCTGCCCATCTAGACAGCCTTCCCTCACCAAAAAGGCCAGGCTCCAGTTCACCGTGGGTCTCTACCCCTCTCCTTCAGCAAGTCACTGAGGACTTTTGGTAGATAAAGAAGACCCTTCCAGTGAGTGTGAGGAGACTGCTGAGAAACCAGGACACAGGCCAAAGCCTGAGTGTGCAGTTGAGTGGTTAAGAAGGAAGATGAAAAATGCTTTTTAAAAGCTTTTATTTCAAAAAATAAAGCCACAGTTAATTTCACATAAATATCTGGGGAGGGGTGGGAAGGGGGTGGAAGCAAGCCTGGCTGGCCCCTACCTCCTCTTCTCTTTCACACTGTATTGTAAAAGCAAAGGCGATGGCTGAGGAGAGAAGCGGAAGAAGAAATGAGTGGGCTATTAGCATCTGCAGGGCCCTCAGCCCACTGCACCTGGCTTACCTTGCCGAACCAGCGGGACAGCCATAGCTGCTTCATGGTCATGTGATCAGGGAGAACCTCATTGTCAAAAAGGAGCTGTACCTAAGAGGGAGATGGGGCAGAGACTGTTCCCTGGGCTCTGTCCCTTGTGTGCGTTTATGTCTGAACAACTCTGGGTGTTACTCCTCAGGCTCCATCCACCTTTTTTCTTTTCTGAGACAGGCTCTCTCACCCACTGGCCTGGAATGCATCACGTAGGGTAGGCTAGCCACAGACCCAGGGCTGGGACTACAAGTTTGCACTACCTCACTAGGCTGTTTTGGTTTTGTTTTAGGTCTGGGGATTGAACTCTGGTCCTGGTGCTTACAAGACAAGCACTTTACCCACTAAGCTGTCTCACCAGACCCCTCTCCCACTTTTTTTCATTTCTGAAGACAAGGTCTTACTCTGGAGCCCAGACTGGCCTGGAATTTGCTATATAGCTATGGCTAACCTTGAAGTTGAAGTAATCTTCCTGTCTCAGTTTCCTTCCAGACACAAGCCACAAGCCAGACATGCCCCTCCGCTTTCAGTCTCTGTTCTTCATATAACATAGTGGGCTTACTTACATGTTGTGGATTTAGCATTAGGCGGTGACACAGAACCCTCCGGAGATGGCGTACCTCAGCTCTAACAGAGCATCGGACATATTTGTTCTAGGGTCAGGGAAGGGAGGAAGAGGACAGGTGTGTGAGGGAAGGGTTTCTGGGAGAATCTCTCCTTCAGAGAGCCCCCCCACACACACACTTCAGCCCCTCTCACCTGAAGGACATTTTTATTCTTGTCTTTGCCAGAACTGGATGGAAACAGAAACCAGTTAGGGGATTCCATTTTTCCTCTCCCCCAACGGATACTCCCTCATCCCCTGGCCTTTCCCTAAGTCCCTCAGCTGGTTCTGGGTCACCAACAGTATCACTTCATACAACCTCTGACCTGCCCCTCACCTCAGCCGCTCCAGGCATAGGCTCAGCTGCTCATCATAGCGATAATAGTGGGCTTTAGAGTGGTCAAAACTGCTGAAAGGGAGGCCAAGGTTGCTCAGGGCTGGCTCTGAGAAAAAGTAGACATTGAGAAGGCTGGGGGATTCCATGCCCCCTTTTCCCCAGAGAGCAAAACTGGGCAGAAGAAATGCTCTGAGGGTTTTATTTGCCCCTCCTCCCCCAAATGACCACCAAGGACATACCTTCCCCACTGGGCTGGGTGACTCTGTCCAAGCCTCGGGACTGATAGAATTCCCGAATCCGTTTCTCTTCACCTAGGAAGGGGTGAAGGGCGGCCATATTAATTCTCTTTGTCCTGGCTGTTGACCTCTTTTATCTAGACGATGCCCAAACAAAGCTGTTGTTCACTTCAAGGTGCCACCCAGCATTAGAGTCGGGAGGCCCTACAAACACAAGGCGGCCACTCACTGTCTTGCAAGCCTGGTACTAGCTTATACACTATGTCCTGCATGACCCGATCCAGCTTGAGGTTGAGCAGCGGCTGCGTCTCGTGGATCTTGATGTTGCACATGGGGCAGTACTTGCTGGTCTGCAGGTACTTCACAATACAACTTTTGCAGACTGTAAGAGGAGAAACGCAGACGCTCAGGCCCTTTGGGACCCCAGACACTTAGGGGCGAGTGGGGCAGGCAGCACAGAGGCTTGCAGCCAGCTTGACGAGGACAGGGCAGGCAGGATCCGGGACACTCACAGGTGTGGAGACACTCTGTGATGGTGGTGGCATCCACGAAGTAGCCGGCACACAGGCAGCAAACGATGTGTTCATTCAGGTCTTTGATCTTCACCCGGACCTCCTCCTGCAGACACACCTTCTGTCACTCCTCGGTCGGTCTCGCAAGCCCTCCCCACCTCACCTCTGTGGAGCACTTCCCAGCTCCACAGCAGTTCCTGTCACTGGACTCGGCCGTCAGGCCCATGGGAGGGGGGGTGGGAGACGAGCTCCCCCTCCGCCCAGCAGAGGGCTCCGCGCACAGCGGGTGCTCTCTTCTCGCGGACTCGCCTGACCCTCCTTTCCCTAGGGAGACCAGACGCCGTCAGTGACACAACGCGCAGGCGTCCTAGTCCAGCGTTTGGCAACCCGGCCGGAGTCGCGCGTGCGCACTGCGCGCCCCATTGCTGCGCAGGCGCACTGGGCTCCCGTCCCGCCACCGCCCGTCCTCTCGCCCGCTGGGGTTCGCACAGCTAACGGACCCCAGCAGTCACCCCGCCGCCCCTGCACCTCGTTCCGTAGCGGGTCCATCTTGTACACTGACTGGAGCTGGTTCCGAAGCCTCATCGCGATCGCAATCCCCGCCCCCGCCTGCGGGGCGGGACTTGTCGCATAGCAACGAGGGCCTCAACTCCTCCGGATTGGCTGTCTTCCGGCACACCCCGCCCTCACCCCTTCTCTCGCTCGCTCGCTCGCTCGCTCTCTCTCCCCGTGTGCTCACCTGAGCCCCCTGGTCCCCCCATCCCCGTGGTCTTTAGTGAGTTTGGGGGGGATGTGGAGCGGAGTCCCGGTGTCGCCCGCTCCCGGGGGCCGTGCTTCGCACAGCGCGCACCGGACCTCTGGACCAACTTCAGGAGTTTGTGATAGATGATAGCCTGTGCCTCCTCTCCCCCGACCCCGAGGCCGGGCGATCGCCGCCCGCTGCCGCTCGGGAGAGTGGGAGACCCGGGACGCGACCTCGCCTCAGACCCCGGGTCCTCACCCTGCAGGGCGGTCCTGCTCGGCTGCGGCGTCAGCTGCGTTCGGGTGGCGGGCCTCCTCCCCGCTCCGCCGCCGCGGGAGTTGCTCCCGGCTTCGCCAAGTCTCGGAGAGGGTGCCTTGGGCGGGGTGGAGAGGGAGAGACCCTCCGGGAACGAGCCGATCTTACCCCCTTACCCTCCCTGCTGCCGGGGGTGTGTGTGGGGGAATAGGCCCTGGTTAATGATGATGATTTAATCATCGGCGCCTGCGGAGGCCTGGGATAGACTAATGCAGAGCAGATGCCGAAGGAGGAGGGGAGGACTGACAGCGAAGACAGGACCCTCGGGCAAGCGAGGAGCGAGCGCCTGCAGTAGCATAGGCCCAGGCCCGCACTGGGGGAGGACGGACGCAGGGGTCCCCCGGGACTGGTGGTACACTGTTATCACTGAGTTGTTCTTAACGTCGAGGTTAAAAAGAAAATAAATTTACTCTGAAGCGTTGTTAGCACCAAGTAAAACTGGGAGAGTGGAGCCAGAGGGGAGGTACCACCAGAACACTAAAAGGCTTTCTGGAAAAGATGGAGCTCCCTGTGGGCATGATTGACACATGGATGAGGGGTGTTAAGTGTGAAGGATAGGATAGAAAGGCAGCGTGGAAGGGAACGATCAAGAAAACAGAGGCTGTGGATTGGGAGTGGCAATAGAAGGAATGGGGCCTAAAAGGGATGATGGGATGATTAGATTGATGGCAACAGGTACCTGACGGAATGGAGAGAGTGTGTGTTACCCCACGAATGGAATAAAATTCCTCTTCAGAATGGAATGGAGTATATAACAGTCAAGGAAGTATTAATGACTTGTTAATTAACTAATTAAGGCTATGGTTTACCTCCCTGGTCCAAAGTACCGTCATCACTACTAAGACATTGCAGGTCTTGACTGCTCTCTTCCTATCCTCCACTGCTCCCTCTTCAGTCCCTTCCCACAACCCCACAGCATGGAAAAGTGATTCAACGTTTTGATGGATGTTTCTTCCTTTTTTGTTTTTGTTTTGTTTTTCCAGACAGGAATTCTCTGTATTGCTTGGAGCCTGTCCTGGAACTCGTTCTGTCGACCAGGCTGACCTCAAACGCACAGAGATCCACTTGTTTTTGTCACCCGAGTGTTGGGATTAAAGGCATGAGCCACCACCACCGGGCTTGATGGATATTTCTTATTTTGATTGTGGGGTTAGTTTAATGGGCATTTACATTTGTGGAGACCAGTCAGAGTATAAACTTTAAAAATTTGTAGCTTAGCAGGGTCGTGGTGGCGCATGCCTTTAATCACAGTTCTCAGGAGGCAGAGGCAGAGGCAGGTGGATCTCTGAGTTCGAGACCAGCTTGGTCTACAAGAGCTAGTTCCAGGACACAGAGACACAGTTCTAGTCTCCAAAGCCACAGAGAAACCCTGACTCAACCTCCCCTTCGCCCCTACCCCCAAAACAATCAGGGTGTTGAGCCGAGTGTGGTGATGCACACCTTTGATCCTAGCACTCAAGGCAGAGAGAGGCATTTGCATCTCTGAGAGTGAAGCCAGCCAGGTCTAAAGAGTGAGTTCCAGGATAGCCAGAGCTACACAGAGACTCTGTCTTGAAAAAACCAAAAACTAAAAGAAAAGAAATCAGATTATTTTATTTCCTTTTTCTGTTTAAGATATTTTAATAGCCCTGGGGTTACAGCTCTGTAGTAGAGTGCTTGTCCCAGGCTCTGGTCATTCCTAGGAACACATACAAACCCAGGGCCTGGAGAGATGGCTCAGATGTTAAGAAAACTGACCGTTCTTTCAGAGGACCTGAGTTCGATTCCTAGTACCCACAAAAAGGTTTACAACAATTTGTCACTCCAGCTGCAGATCCAATACCCTAGTTTGGCCTCCACAGTCACTATACCATGTTTGTGGTACAGAGATATACATGAAGGCAAAACACTCATGCACATAAATCTAACAAAATAAAACAAAGTCCCCCTAAACCTGATAGCTTCTCTTTTCAGTAAGAACAAGAGCCTAATGCCATGCATAGTTTCTCCAGCCACACTGAGCTCCTCACTGTCTATTCTATAGAAATACTAAAATGGGCTCTGCTTCAACACACTGGCTATCTATGCTTCCTCCCTCTTCCAGGTCTCTTTGAGGCTTCTGCGATCCTGCTGCACAAACAAACTATTCACTTGTCCTTTAACTTCCTTGCTTTATTTTTCTTCTTACAATGTTTTATCATTGTTAACATTTATTTTTTTGAGACAGGGTCTCTATGTAGCCCTGGCTACCTGGAACTTACTAGATAGATCCAACTGGCTTTAAACTCACAGAGATCCACTTGCCTCTCTCTACCTTTCAAGTGCTGGGATTAAAGGCAAGAGCCACTACACCACGTTTTGGATCAGCTTGGGATTGGAGGGATGGTTCAGTGATTAAGAGTGCTTACTTCTCTTTCTGAGGACTCAGGTTGGGGTTTAAGTCCCCAAGTCAGGCTGTTCACAACCACCTGTAACTCCAGTTCCAGGGGATCTGATGTCCTCTTCTGGTTTCCATGGACTCTTGCATGATTGTGGTGCACATAAACTCACACAGGCAAACACATATATACCCATAAACTAAAAAATTTAAATGTAACATATTTTGAGTGTGTACATGTGCACACTACAGTGAGCATACACACACACACACACACACACACACACACACACACACACCCCCCCAGCGGGGGTGTGTGTGTGTGTGTGTGTGTGTGTGTGTGTGTATAGGTCAGAGGACAAACTGCAGTGTCCTTAGGATCCTGAAAGAGTGAGGGAGGAGAGGCTCCTTCATAAGAAGGTTAGACTGGCTGACCAACAAGCCCTTGTGACTTTCTTGTCACTACCTCCCCAGTACTCTACCACACCCAGCTTTTCACATGAATGCTGGGAATTCAACGCAGACCCTCACATTTGTATGCAAGCACTTTATTGCCTGAGCTATCTCTGAGGCCCTCTCTTTTGTTTTATTCTTTCTTTTTGAAATAATCACAGTATTGCTCCAGCTGACCTAAAACTTGTGAACCTTCTGCTTCAGCCTCCTAAGGTAGCTAGAATTACAGCCATGTTCCCCTCTCTCTCTCTCTCTCTCTCTCTCTCTCTCTCTCTCTCTCTTCTATTATGTGTCTTTATGCATTAGATATATTTTTGGTTTCTAATATTTTTCTAGTTTTTAATCTGCCTTTTGTATTAGAATGTGTTTTTCCTTCCCTCTGCTATTCACATTATATCTCCAGAGCGGAGCACATAGTGGGTATTAAATATTCTGAACGGTGGCTGGAGGGACAGCTTGGTAGTTAACAGCACCCACTGATCTTGCAGAAGACACGAGTTTGGTTCCCAGCATCCACATTAGGCAGGTGGCTCACAACTACCTGTAACTCTAGCTTCATGAGGATCCAGCACTCCTGGCCTCTGAAGCGCTGTTGCACACACATAAACTCAAGAAGGCAAACACACACGGACATAAAATTTAAAGAAATCTTTAAAACAACATTCTGAATGAACAAATGAATGAATGTAGGTGTTGGTGATAGCTTAGATTAAGGTTTTTAACAATGGAAAGGAAGGACTGTAGCTAGAAATGAAACACACCTGTAATCTTAGCACCCAGAAGGTAGAGGCAGGAAGATCAGAGTTCAAAGCCAACCATGGCTACATGGTAAATTCATGGCCTGGGTTACGGAAGACTGTCCAAAGGAGGAGGGGGTAGGTACATGCTAAACTTCAAAGGAAAGCATGGCAGAAGGAAGCAGCCAGGGACCTGCCTGGGTAGGCCTAGGTAAGAAGATGAATAAGAATTGTGAAAAGTGAGCATTTCCTCCAGCCTGTTGGATTTAAGGTGGCTTCAAGAGAGATGGGTAGAGTTGGCCAGAAATCTAGAACAGAAGTGAGACTGGAGAGATGATGCTCAAAGGTCAGGTGTCAATGCTGTCTGGGTGGGTGTGAGGACTGAGGCTACTGGAATGGCTGAAACCTGAACAGACATAGAAAAGCTAAAGGCAGATCTCTGAAGCACGTTCACGCTCTTCGGTAGAAGCAACAAAGCCAGTGGAGGAAGGCTCTATGCAGTAACAATGGAAGTCCATGTTACAGAATTCAAGAGGAACATAAGAAAACAGGGCTGGGGATGTAGCTCAGGGGTAGGACACTTGCCTAGCATGCATGAGGACCTAGGTTCAATCCCCAGTGCCCCAAACAAAGCAAAATATAAAACCAAAATTGAAGCCAAAGGGAAGGATTGGCAAGATGGTCCAGCAGGTGAAGGTGATTGCTTCCGGATCCCTGGGACCCACATGGTAGGAGATACCAGACTCAAAGTAGTCCTCTGACCTCCACATTCATACTGTGGTACATCTACACACACACACACATACACACACACACATACACACACACACATACACACACACACACACACACACACACACACACACACACACACAGAGAGAGAGAGAGAGAGAGAGAGAACTAAAAGAAATATAATCTTAATTTTTTTAAGAAAAGAAAATTCAAGAAATAAGTGGTTGTTGGGTGTTCCTCAGGAGGCAGAGGCAGGTGGATTC